GAAGGTACAACATATAAAACTGTAATGTTGATTATGTTCTAAATGCAAAATGCTAAACGTATACAAGTTATTGATTAAGTTTAAAATCTTATTATTAAAAAAAACACGGCAACCATCTTAAAAATGGTGGTACACGCTATTTTACGATTGTTGCTGTATCTGAAAAAGTAATGGAGCTGTTTTGTTCATGTTTGATATGTGTTAACTCATAACTGAGACTAACATAAAATGTTTATGTTAGTCTCAGCTCATAAGCATTGATACACTCTCTATTGGCAATTCGGCTAGTGAGTGGCCATTTTGAAAAACAGCCGCCTATGGCACCCGCTCTGCCATAGGCTCGAGGACACTATATCTAGCCAAATTCTTGCATATGCCTCCTTAAAGTATTTTCTTCAAAATTGGGCCTGAAATTAAAAAATGAGGCCTTAAAAAGGCCCAGTGATGACCAAATTAAAAGGCCCACTTTTTGGCGCAAATTTTTTTTGGGCCAACAGGGGGGGGGGCATCCCCCCAGATCCGCCAGTTGATCTGTAACGAAAAACAAGGTATCTAATTCTTCTCCCCTGGGTGTGGTCTTTGGTTATTGAATAGTGAATACCACCGTAATCCCGATAGGTGTCAGCATTTGTAGACAGCTACATAGTCACGTGATCACTACACTTTCCAAGCGCCGGATTTCAGAAGACGACAAAATATTCCAGTTCTCATTTCTAAACGGATATTGGGACACACTTCGTATGACCATGAATGATACAAACTCACCATTAGTTGGTCGAGGAAGGGGAATGTTGAATTGGAAACATTTGGTTATCGACAGTGCGTTAAATCAACTAGGAAACGTGAATAATCCGATGCAGCCATTGCAGGTAAGAAATTCACACTTTTCAATTTTGCATGTTTTGCAAAACTTTTGGATTCTGTGGAATTCATATTTTCCAAATAGCTTTTAGTAATCTTAGCATAAACGTACAAATGTGAGACTTGAAATCTGTGTTCTCTAGTTAAAACTCGACTTTCCTAGCAACGAATTTGATGTTGTTTTTTATTTTGACAATTTGAATTTGATAGACTAGTGGGGGGGGGGGGGTGATGTGGTGTGCTCTATGGTGTATGCTAGAAAAGAACGTGTATGTAATAGGCCTAGCAATAATTTCTGGATATTTCATTCTGGAATTCAGGAGTGGGAGCATCATCGAATTCAGAGGTGGCACTGGCGGATTAGGGGGGGGGGGCCTGGGGGCCCCTTGGGTGGGCCCAGAAAAAAAAAATTTGGCCCAAAAAAAATTATGGGCCAAAAAAGGCCTTAAGGCCCCAAAAAGTGGGCCTTTTTTATCATTACTGGGCCTTTTACGGCCTTATTTTTTAATTTCAGGCCAAATTTTGAAGAAAATGGGCCTCAAAATTTCAAAATTTGGGCCAACTTTTGGGTTTTAGGGGCCCAAAATTTTGCGCGGACGATTTTTTCTCTGAAATTTGGGCCCCCCCCCTTGTTGGTTCCCAGATCCACCCCTGGGTGGAGCAACTGAATCCTTTTGAATCAAGATAGGGGGGGGGCATGAATCAAAACTGGGGATCAAACATATATAACTAGAATTCATATCCCCACAGGCAATGGAACATAGAAATACCCCCCCCCCCACTCTCTGTATATAAGTAAATAAATATCTATTTATTTATTTACTTATATATAGAGAGTGGGGGGGATTATTTACATGTTCCATTGCCTGTGCATATCCCTAATCTTACATCCACCTTTTATTTTACATTTGGCCTTGTTACAAGTACAGCATACTGCACATGCTTCAGTACAGCAACCTGTTGCATGAACTGTGTTCTATGTGGCATTACTGTAAAAGCTCTTGCTAGGCAAAAGGGGTGCGTTCTTTTGACCATAAAAAGGCTACCTTTTCATGCAAGGAAAGGCCTTTTCCCCCATTTATTTCAACATCTCAAAACTAGTGTTGTGACAAAATCCCCTCTTGAGGCAAACACCAAAATCAAACCTCTCAAACTCACAAATACTAATGGTTCATCCCTGTGTGCAAATGAACATCAATCAGTGTGCAAAACATGATCATTTAATATTCTAGTCTTGTATATTATCACATCTTACATGATACGGCTGGGTGAGAAATCATTCACTTGTGAAACCCAAGTTTATCAAATGCTAATTTTGAATT